GTGTTTATATAGTTCAACAAAAATAACGACCCTTTAAAGTCGTTCAATGGATTACATAGTATGTTTTACATAGTAATCCTTAAAGGAGATTTTGAAGCGCATTACAGCAAGCCACATCATAAAAAACATTTTTAATTACATCCCCAATCGACTTTTACCACATCCTCTGGCTGCCTTTATTGCTAGTGCTCATCGAAAACTTTAATATTAATACTTTGTTGAAAAGAAGATGGCAGAAAATAAAGAAGGGACCGGATAATATTGAGCAAGAATTTTTCACAGTCCATTTAATTTAATTAATTTTCATTCGTAATAAATTTTGTTTTTCTGCTGTGGAAGGCATTCTTTCAGAAAACCAGTGGCAAAGAAGTCGACAAAGGAGACTGTTAAATTTAAATATATATATATATGTAGGTTTATATGTAGAGTAAGGAATACTTCGATATGACTGCATACACACGCAGCTATGATTGACTTTTCCACTTAGTGGAAGGCGGTGGGGAAAATCTGGTAGTTGGGCATAGAAACCGGGCTATCTATAATCAATTTACACAATTTCCTCGTCATTTCCGCGATGCCGGCTCAAAGCCTTGGCCAAAGCGGGCTTTTAGAGAAGTAACTTGAATTAGTCTCTGCTGATTGCTTTCAGCTTTTAGTCCCTCTCGTTTCGCCGATCTATCTCTGTCATTTGGTGCCTTTGAGCCAGCTAAACAATGTTCCCTGTCAGCAGAACTCGAAGTAGTAGTGGTAATACTACCATATAGCAGTCCCAACGACAGGCAGCAGTTTTTGTTAGCCGACGCTCAAAATAGATTAACATCTTCACGCAGCGGCAATTAAACATGTAGCAGGAACATAGATTTTCCCGCTTTCACCGCCCAAATGCTCGGATCCACTCGACTTAAAAATTTCCTTCAGAGCGAACAAAAGGTATGATTTTTCTTGCTGCGAAAGTAAAAAGGTAAATAGTAGGTAATTGGTATTTTGATTGATGGAAAAAATAAAATTAAACAGTTTTACAAAACCTAAAGAATTTTTCGGGTTTAGTAATCGTTGAATTTTTATAATTTTTATTAAATATGTTAAACAGTTAACAGAAAAGTCAGGTAATTGTGCTTCTACTATTTTTCTTCTATTTTTACAAATTTTTAAATCAAATATGGATTTTATCTCCATCTTAACTTGAATAAGGGTGTTTAATTTCTGACTAATTTTCGCATCAAAAATTCAACTTCACACTTGAGTGAAAGGGAGTTCGTCATCTTTGGGACTTCCTGCGAAGAGGCCATTTCCGGCGATGGTGCTACCCCGAGTCAGGGTATCTAAGTACTGACCCCGCATATTGATACACAGACGACGACGTAAAGTCGACTTAAAGGACAAGAACTCCGCCCCGTCCGGAAGTAGCAGGAAGCTGAGGGGGAAAAAAAAGAAAATACGGCATAAGATGGCAACTTTTTCCCAGTTCTTGTAGCGGTTGGCCTTCCTTTATTTCCGCTTTTTTCGACGCTCTACGTTCGGTTTAGTTGTGTTTTGTGGGCGGCGCACATGACTGGAAATTATTTAAGCAGCTGTCAGCTTTGCACCGTCGCGCTTTGGCAGGACCAAAATGAGGAATATAAGGATATATGCTGAGTCTCATGTCTGAGGTCTGGTGAGCTGGTGAGCTGAGAGCTGAGGGTTAGCAAAAGACAGTCACAAATTGGCAGGCTGCCTTGGTAGTTTGCTCCGTTGACTTTTTAAGCGGCAAGTGCGCACCCTGAACGCATGAAGATAAAAAGTACGGAAGTAATCTCTCCCCTTCAGAATGTGCCAGTATATGCGAGTATCTGAGGGCGACTTAACTACCCGTATGTCTGCATAAGAGCGAAGTTTAAGGATGCGAAATGTGAGGCCAAGACGACGACGACTTGCTGCCAAGTTCAAGTTGCACAACTAAGCCAACAGCCAAAAAAGTATGCGCTGGAATTCAATCAGCCAAGAGTTCGACGGGTTAATTGAAACTTGGTTGCCTCGCCAGTGCTTACATACTTTAATTGAAATTCGGAGTACTTAGGAAGCTCAGGAAACTTGTGCTAAGCAAAACCTCTAAGTTTTCCGAGGTCCTAGGGTTTGGTATTTGGGATATGATCAATTTTAAGGTTCAATTGCCTTTATACTTGGAGCTCAACAAAATAACACTATGAAAATTAAGCTATACAAATTATTTGAATCCAAAAAGAAGTTGTTTCCTTGAAAGAACATAAAATAGTTGGAATTAACTTTGCTGAGCAGCAAACTCCATTGCAGTAATAAAGACAGATGGCTTATTGATATCGCTTCATCACCTGTTCAATTCCATTACTCCGCATTGGTAATTGAAACCTTGTATCTTACCAAGATAAACGACGGAAAAACTATTTTTCCCGCTTTTAAGGTAAAGAACATTTAATCAAATAAAAGCTTCCCCGACCAGCTTTTCCCATCAGCCCTCCGAAAAACTTCGTCTTAAGGACTTACCATATGCATATTGCTAACACGCCACATCGTAGATGGCCAAAAAGGGCCACCAAAAAAAAAAAAAGGAATAGAAGTAATGTCAACCCAAAGGAGCCAGAAAAAATAGATGGGATAACTTGGTGCAGTGTGGTTAAAGTCAAAGTTGCCCTCCAGTTTCCACTGTTGCTGCTGATGCTGGCAACTGTTTGTTTTGGGGTGTTTGCGAATTTATTTATTGGTGCAGACTGGCGTCGTTTTTGCCACCCCACCACGTTTTTGCAGCTTCGGGTGGCTTTGCCGGCGGCAGCCGCTGGGCAACATTTTAGTGCTGGCTTTATTTACCTGCAGCAGCCAGAGTAATGGGTTAAATAAAAAGCTAACTGCTACCTGCTAACTGCTCCGCTATTTTGCTATTTTGTTCGGAAATGTGCAGGTGGCGCGAGGCACTCACCATGAAATTGTTTTACCCATGGCCTTAAATGCTTAATTGTAAAACAGTTTGGCCGCTAAGCGACTCTGGGCAGCAGTAGCTCTAGGTTGTTTATTCCTGCCACTGGGTTGCTTTTCTATAGCCAGGCTAATAGGGTTTTAATGTAATTTGTGGACTTTGCACGACGAACGCTGACTCGAAAGTTGCAGCTTTTTATCTTTTGAGCCTTCGATTCCTGGTCGATTTCTTTGTTCACATAAATTAATTTTCAAGCACAAGATACTCAAGAGTTGGAACACTAAGAAAAATTTACGTAAACATTATTTCCTTGTCGAAACGTTTTACTTATTTAATTCAAAATGTTACTCAACATCTTTACTTTAATGACAATAGCAGCTTTATTTATTAATTAATTTTATTGGGTTGTTTAAAAGTAAAACATTGAAACGTAAAACATTTTATTATTTATGTGTATATTTCTATTGATCTTATTATTTTTTTGTGTACATAGATACCAAAAAATCATGCTGTATAAATAAGCCTCTATACAAATTAAGCCACATCAAGGCCTTTCTCGTGTAAGCCAGGAAAGTAATTATAATAGCACCTTATATTATTAAAGTATTAGGGCCTACGTACAGACTTTTTTCCAGGAAATTCCGGAACCACGAGGGTAGCTAGTAGCTACCCTTGCCTATTTATTTGCCGCCCTATTTTGTAGCGATTTTTTTGTGTCGCTCCAACCAGCAACAGACTGAGAGCTTGGTAATTAAAGCGAAATAAAGTGTGGATGGGAGGCGGGATCCTGCTGGCAATCCTTTAAATGTTTGTCTAGCTGTTTGGAAGTCATCCTTATCCTTGGCATCCCGCTTTGTCCCCGCCTCCCCCCGCCTCCACCGAAAAACCCCGCCCCCCACACAGCTGAGGCCCATTCTCATGTAGATGTTGGAGTTATGGGCGTGCCCTGCATAGTTTCTGTTGTTGTTGTTTGCTATTCATCGTCCTCGCCGGGAGGTTCCACTGTGCACTGCAAAAATAAACCTTTTTAATTAGTAATAAAGTTTTTCCACTGTGATTCGTTCCTTAAAAACTGTACCAAATTAAAGTATTTTAGTTAGTTGGAATAATGCTATTATAAAAGCCAAACAACACTTGTGATTAAACTACTATAACTATCTTGATAGTAATATCAAGATTTCTTAAAGATTAGTAGTTATATATAAATAGAATTTGCTTCATATACTTTATGTATCAGGAGATGGTTTATTTTATTTATCAACTATATATATTCAGTTCTTACTCTGCTCATAAACAGAATTATAGATTGAACCATTGATTTTTGTTTTTAGTAAATTTTAATGCTCTTTTTTCGCCAAGTGTTGTCACAAACGCAGTTACTTTTGTTGTTACTGTAACTGTTGCCATAGTTGTTGTTGTTCGTACAACGTAAAATTAATTTGCACAGCCGTTTTTCATTTCGTTTGTCGCTTCAATGTTTAATGTCTGAGTGTGTGCGTGTGTAGGTGGGTGTGTCTGTGTGTGAGCGTTCCTTGCATATTTTAGCAAGATTGCATTCATTCCAAATTCATCGCTCTTAAACCCATCCATCCACCGCCCCATCTCCACCCCCCTTTTTCCACCCTTCAGTCGACACACCTTTCGCTTCACCACCTCCCACCATTTCGCTCGCAAAAGGAGCTACAATCACTTACTACTTTACCTGGCCCCAAGGAACAGGACGAGTTTGGCCTTTTTCGAAGGGTCTTAGGGTAGATTTATATATGCCTAGTTGCCTTCGGAACGCTTACCAGCGAATTTATAACATTTTTAATGCAAATTGGGACATGAAAAGAGTTAATTTCCTTTATGAACAAAGACAGTCGAGGAGTCTTTTGTTTTTAAGCCATGTTGGATGAGTAGATCCTTGGCGTGCTTTAGTCGGATTTAATAGCTTTCGTTAATGAGAATTGGCCTATCAAGGTAGATCCACAACATTTTTAAACTGAAAACGTAATAAACAATAAAATAAATGCTTAAAAGACTCACAATCAACTTAAAACTAATGTTTCTTTAAAATCTTTTTACTTTGCAGATCCTACACGATTGTAACGAATGATTTGTATGAATTTGAAGGTATCCTTGGAGCTGAAAGGATTAAGCAGTCACATACTTTACGAGCCCAGTAAGTACGGCCTTCTCATTAACATCGAATCCCCATCGAGATATAGAACAGTCGATATATCATTTTACGGGGCCGCCATCAAAATAAACAACTTGACCAAAATTATACCCTTAAGCGGGCTGCAATAGCCGGCAATTTACCTCCTTATTTTTTTGGGCGGGTGGCATTGGGTGTTTTTGGGGGGAGGACCGTAAATTCCGGACAGACTGGGTGGAAGCGCAAAAAAATTTATAGACAAACTTGTGCTATTGCAGTGGTTCGGGTTTTCGGATGGCAGAACTTTTGCTTGAATATAATATTCATAAATTTAATCCGAGCAAACACTTTTCGCGTATTTCGTTCGCTTTATTTTTGGTTTTTCTCTTTGGGCCCGTTTTTGTTTTTATATGGCCGCCCACGTTTATCACTGAGACGACGTCAAGTATTCCACTTTTGCAACATTTTCCGGGTTCGGTTTGCTCATACCCCTACCCCTCTCTCTTCGCCGAACTCTTTGTATCTGTGTTTTCGTGGCAAAGAAGAAATAAACAAAATAAATAATTCATAATGCAAATAGGCCAAAACACACAGAGACAAGCCGAATGCCAAGGCAACGGGAAAATAAGAGCCCGAGGCAAAATTGCAACCCGGCTAGGACTCAGATTCAGATTCAGTTTCTGACTCAAACTTGGACTTGGACTTGGAGTCCTGCGATCCTTGGCCGACTCCCAGGCAATCTGCTCTGTGTACACAAGCACTTTCCCAAGCGAAAGGATTATCAAACGAATCAGGTATTCTGTCCATTGTTGGCATTGCCAAATGAGGGATCTGTCGGCCACATAAAACCGAGAAACAATCACACAAAAAAAAAATGTCCTGTGAGGGTCTCCAAGGCACTGAAAAAATTACATAAAAATATTTAACCTCGTAAATAGTAAAATTTTTTAATGTTGAGTAACCATTGTCAAACTAAAATATTGGCTTAAAAATCTTGCTGTACTTTTGTGGGCTATATATTCAATTATATTTTTGTATTTGAATATATTTAAAACTATTATAGAAGAATTTTAAACTTTAAAGTTTGGGCATTGGAGTAAAGTATTGAGTTTGTCTTTTATAGTTTCCCCCTGTATTTACACCCTCTGAATTTACAAAGCTACAAGTTCTCCGTTCCTATTTATCTATGCAACCCACGCCGAAAACAATGTCAAGTTCGATGAACCGTTTCTCGCTGTGCACTCTCATTCCGGTTGAACTTATGGCCCGTGCGGCTAAGCCACGGTTAAGGGTTTTACGGCTTTAAATAGTCAACCAAGGCTAAGCAGGGGCCACAACATCACAACATCGGAGAGGTGAAACCAGAAGGGGAAAAGGTGAATCCGGAGGGGAAAAGGGCAACACACCGCATATATTAAATAAAAAATACAAAATCGTTAGGGCCGTCGTCTACGGGTGATGAGGGTGACTTTCGGCCAGAGCGTTTGCAACTAAAATAATCAAAAAAACAAAATACGAGAGAAAAAAAAAGGGGAAAAGTAGGTGGAAAAGCCTGAAGAAGAAGAAGAAGCACTGGTACCACTGGCACAGAATAAGAAGAAGCGGCAAGCGTAATCGCCAGCCCCACACACACACACACACACACACACACACTTAGCGTGGTAAAAAATGCAACAAAATCGGATTAAAAAGTGCTCACGGGTTGAGCAACCGAGCAAAAGACCAAAGCCAAAGCCAAAAGCGGCTGCCAGAACCCCAGAAACAGAAGTAAAAACAAAAAAAAAATGGCAAGAAAGAGTCCTAAAGTCAAGTGATTCAACTAGGAGATACCTTGTACTTTCTTTCATGTTAAAAAAAAAAAAACTTCTAGTTGTTCCAGTTATCGGATTTAATGATATAAACTTGCATAAAGTTTTAGCATAGTCAAAACTTTTAAGCAGATTGTTAGTCGTAATATGTAAAAATTATTCTTCAGAAACTCTCAACTTCGATTTGCCTCGAAATCGTATATATCCTTTATCAAATCGGAAATGCTCCCTAATCCTTTTTGCATGTATTTCCACGTCTGCAATATTCTTGTGTAATCTAGCAGTAAGAGGTATTATAAACCCCCGTCGAAACGTTTTGCCACCCAGCCAGCAAAAGAGATACAAATTGCAGTAAGACGGTTTTTTATAGTTCAACGATGGATTTACGATGTTGCACGACTTTGAACTACATTTGCGGATGGACGGCGGGGTGGGGGGTGATGCCACCAAATCCCCGCGGACTGCTTAAGTTTGTTGTGGGGGTTCATCTACGACGGGTGCTGAATAAAACTATCTTTCCATCTATCCGGCTAGTTTGTTAACAGCTAACCAGTCGGGTGTGTTGTTCCACCGGGCGAAACTGTACTCGCCTGCCCGTTCGACCGTTACGGCTCGTAAAAGTTGCAACTTTTTCTCTAGCGCCCCCTTCTTTAGTTTTTTTTTTTATTTTCGAAAGGCCCTTCCCAACCGAACACTCGATGAACTACAAGTAGATGCAAAAAGGCTGAGGCCCGGCAGTAAGGAGCACATAATACGGCCGTAAACTGAATTGCTACGTCGGCTGCAAGTTGCAACAAAATTGCAGCCATGTTCTAAGCCAGTTTACGGTCGCACCCACTGGGTAAATATGGTGAAAAAGGGGGTGTGGTGAGAGGGGGAAGGGGGTTGGGGGGCGTAGGGATCATGGGTTCCAGTGGGGCGTGGTGCACGCCTCCCAAGGAAATTACGGATTCAAATTAGCGGCACTCAATCTCAATCTGGGAAGAGTTCGGGCCGCCCACTCAACCGCCGGCTAATGCGTTTTATGATCCCCATTTTATAGAGCCAACTCACCAAATGCCCTGCACTTACGAAAATTATTTTTCAATTACCCAAATAGTTTTTATCACTATATATTTTACTGATTATATCAATCATCTCATTCAACCACCACTGGTTTTCGTATTTTTAGTCTTATATTTACAATACTTATACATTCTTAGCTTAATTTGAGGATTCGGGAAATAAAAAAATATCTTTTTAATTTGCATACATAAATTAATGCTTATTATTTTCTGTTATATTTAAGTGACTTTATTTACAACTAAAAATATTTACATTGTTGAATTCTAGTAAATACAAAGTTAAATTTCAATAGATTAAATGACTGAGAGCTTACATGGGTTCTTCTCTGAATCACAGATTTAAAAGCTTTTACCATTTTAAAACAAATTTTCTACCACAGTGTAACCGCTGCAACAACCCAGCCAAACTTCGATCCATTCGGCCCACTTTTAAGCAATTTAATCAACTTATCGCGTAAAATGCACAAAACGTTTTTCTTTTAGTTCGGCAAGTGCAGCAGCACCCGCTTCTCCCACCGAAAACCCCGCCAAAGTAATCAATGATTTTTCAGTTTGTGCATTAAAATGCAAAGCCCTGAAATACCAAAGCCAACCGGCGCACCCCCACCCATTTCAGCCACATTTTACTCATTGGCTCTGTTGCTTATTTAGGGCTAATTAAGTTTCATTTAATGGCTGCCAATGGGAGTCGCCGGATGGAGGGCAGAGGTCACGGGGTGGCACTGGAGGTACTTTACAGTTTAGCAGTTAGTTGTTGTTCTTGATGGCATCCTGTATATATATACAAAACAAAAATAAAAAAAACAAAAACAAAAAGAATATAGAAAATTTCCGCGTGCCGCTTTTTAACTTTTCCCAGAGTTGGCAATTGAAAGTTTCTTGCGGCTGTGGAAAGGGGATTTTCGATTGCGGATGGAATGCGGAGTGGAAGGGGCATTGGCATCTATCTCCCTTATGCAATTTAGAGATTTTAACTGAACTACGGCCAACTTTTGTCTGAATGATCCGAGTTGTATTTAGACAGATTTTTGCTTAACATTTCTGGTAAATTTGTAATCGCTTAAGTTGGATATCGCTTTGAGTTGATGCAAATAATATTTCGATTACATAGAAATTTATTTCAACATTTTTTTCTTCTTAGCAAGTTTATATACCCTGGAGGTAAATTCGATTTCTAATTACAAATCAAACTTCTGCTGGTTTGTTAAAAAGACAAGAACTTTGGTCTTTTATAAACAGTAAATGTAATAAATCCACCGCAATGAACACAAATCCAATAAGTGAACAAAGTGAAGCATTTGCTAATTAAATGAATTAGCTTACCACAAGCCAACCTTGTTGTTTCCTCTTTGGATGTCATTAGTTTGCGGCTGTGATTCCATAGAACAAAATTAACAGAAATAGCTGGCAATTTTCGATGGGCATTTAATGTCTGCTTTCAGTACAAGACTAATGACGGCCTTCTATGTTCAGATCGGACCTGTCTGTTTCAGCAATTATGGGCCTCTAATGATGGATATCAGTCGTTGTGAGGAAACAAAAACCTTCTACAGAGAAGATTTCGTTTCTCAGGTGGGGAACGATTTCCCTTCGTGATTTGAATCATTCATGACTTTCAGCGATGATCTGCCGTGCAACTGGGCGAGTTTATTGATTTATAATTGACAGAAAACACTTCTTTGTGTTCGTCTGTGATCGAACTAAAACCGAATCGAGACACTTGTAACGCCAACGAGCTAACTCTATCCAGCCAGCCAGCCAGTCGGGTGGTCATTATTCATAGCCAGTCGGCTAATATATAGATTTGTATATGAGACAGGGGCAAACCGGTTCGTGTAAGGCATTTCTTTCAAGTGCACATACTGTAGGGTCTCACTCACCCTTTACTGCGCGAAACCGAATCAAATCCACAAAACAAGTTTTCAAACAAACTGGCTCGGCGGGCCATTTGAATATTTATGAATTCTAGTGCAGAGAGTTGAACAAAAAAATAAAAAGAAAAACAAATAAACTAATCAATACGAAGAGCTTAATACACTTGCTCTCTTCATTTATTCATAATCATTTATTAGAAGGACAGGTAAAACATAGATTTCTTAACCGATATACAAGTTTTGTAAAAAAAGCTAAAAACATGATCTGATCAATAAATATAAATGTTTATAGGTACTTTAGTAATTAACATACCCACCATAAGTGTATAACAACCTCATATTTAAGGTAGGCCAAGCCGAGATCGACAGTTGTAAGTCGTGTACATCTTTATTGGTTTTTAGTGGCTTTTGTTTGACTTCTTCATTCACACCTTTGATGCTGAACAAAACCATCGGTAATGGAGGTACTTAAAAATGCTCACAATAAATGCCTGGTAAATACCGCGAAACAATTAAGCGAGACAAAGTACTTTGAAAACAGTTACAAGGTCAAGGCGGCCACAAAGCCACTCACCCACCAAACCACTTGGCGAATTCAAAAACAATTCAAATACAACAATTTGAATACAGCAATTCAAATCCAGAAAGCTAAAAACAGCTGTTCCATCCATTCGACGCGTGACGCCTGCGCACAAAATATGCAAATTTGTGAATAAAAACTGTGCGAAATTGCAGTAACTTGAACAAAAGACAAACTTCAACAGCTGACTAACTAAGAACTTATGTTTGACGCAAACTTTTATAATTTTAACGCAAATTTCAGTGATTATGGCACAATTTGCTTTGAAGTAAAACACAAAAGTTTCTTAGCTTTTCACAGAGTGAAATATAATAAAGGAGCCAAATCATTATTAATTAAATTAAATTATTTTAATACTGAGCAAGAGTTGTACTGTTTCCTTTGAGACTGTATTGGTTTTAATTTTCGACTGATTTGAAAATTGATAATCATTAACAGCTCAGGAGAGTTTTGTGTGCAATCTTGTTCCTCAAAAATAAATCGCAATAGCAAGTCTCAGAAAATTTCCATCACATTCCTGCTCAAAACTAATTATAAATCCCTCAGCAAAGTGATGGAATTTCTCGATAAATATAATTCAATTAGCAAATGTCTACAATCTGTGCCAAATAAAACACTGACTGACATATCAAAATGTATTCAATGGCAAACTAATTGAATCTTTGTGTCCCAGACAAAGTGAAACATTTTGGCAACATTGTGGGCAAGGTGAAAACGTTGTTATTTTACACTTGAATTACATATGCTACCAGCTACATGTGTATCTGTCCAAGTGCAGACAAAGACAACAGTGCGTATTAGTAATTTATATGCTTTACTTCACCCAAAGTCTCTGAGCTTGTTCACTTATATGTATATATAGATAGATTTGTACGTACGTCGTGTCGAATTATCTGGCACTTTGGGAACATCTGGCCTGGAAGGGACTGGTGAAATATTCGAACTCATGCGGGAATTATTTAAATTGTTCATCTTTAATGCTGTTAATAGTCTGCAATCAAGCGGTTATTTGTTGTTCTTCTTGCTGATGTTCTGGCATGCTGTTCGGGCATCCTCTGCCCTCCGCTGCTCTCCTCCCTTGCATATTAATGCAAATTATGAGGGGAAAACTGGCAGGAGCGTTGCTTCATTTCCCTAAGCCAAGGATTCCTTGGACACCGACGTCTTAGTTGTCCTGGGAGCTGACGTTCTTTGGTCCTGTCCTCGGTGGTGCTCCCTGATAATTCTGCATTTATAATGCTGTCAAATGCATTCAGTGTTGTTTTTGGCCCTCACATAATTTAGTTAGCAGACGTGAAAGCGGTCAGGTGAATGGCCGATAAGTGACAGGATTTGTGAGCCAAAGACAGCGGCTTGAATTAGTTTTGAATGTTGGCTTTGCGTCTGAAATGTGATTGAAGTAATTCTGTTGTTCTCTTTAAATAAAGACACTTTTGAAGGGTTAAGTAAAACAGATGACGTGACTTTTGGCTTACATCGTTTTGTAAAGAAACTTATAGATTACAATAATGTATTACAGGTCTAGCTATTTATCTCTTTCTTCGTGAAAATATCTGTTGGCAATTCTCTACAAATTCTATAAATTGACGCACAAATTACTAAGAATTTACTATTTCCCCATCGAACTATTTATTCTATTTGGGCTGTAGTTTTGTGCGGAATCATTAGTTAGACACTTGGGCAAATTTAATTGCATTTTCGTTACTTGAGATATGTAATTTGCTTCCTTTGCATTCAGGCAATTGTTGACGGCTATTGGATGGAATAAATAAGATAAACAAAACCGGTTTAAATACGTTTCCGAGCGAACAATAAACACATATCAAGCTGTCTTTCTTGATAGACGAACAAATATACAAAGCGTTATCTGTACTTATTTATTTGTCTGCTAATTAGGAAAAAATTGGTCGCACATTATTGCTGTGACACATCGCAATACTTATTTTTATTACTCATCAATTATGGGGCCTATGGCCTATTCGAATTGATTTGACTTTATTGAATCTAACGTCTTACTCCAAACCCCTTTGGGTAATAACATAAATTCCTGAGGATATCTGCAGTAAGCAGGCTCAAAAGGGGTTAACAAAATGTCTGTGTGTAATAAACATTTATGGCTGCTAATATTGAGTACGTTGAACCGGCGGAATGAGATAGTGGCTCCTAAAGGGGCAAGTTCAAGACACATAAATTACGTTTGATTATCAAAAACAGTTACCAAAACTACTTACAGCCATTCTCCTACTTACTACTGGGATAACTTTCAGTCCTGCCCACAAGACAGGGCCCACAAAGAAAAAAAAAAGGAGGAAAACCGTTGAATAGATGAGAATACAAAAGACGCCCACAAAACTATGTCAGTCAGTATCTTGGCTTTTCCAAACCCCTCGTAACGCCCCTTATTTTCAACCCCCCGCCGGTTCGATGTCAAGTTGCCTTGTCAACGGCAAAGTTTTCCCCACATGTTCGCTACTAGCTGGCGATTTTCTTGGGGTTTTCCGCCGGGTAAGTGAAGTGTGGCGTCTGCATAATACGTATTTAGGTTTCAGGCGGACGGGTATAAATTTCACTTTGTATTTCGCTGGGCCCATATTTATTTCATCGCTCCTGCTCCTCCGGATTTGTGTGCGAGTATTTTCAATTATATAGTATACACTCGCACACACACAATGGTACACACATATCCACGCATGCATAAACAAAATAACAACAAAGTCGACAGGTTGAAACAGAGCGCAAAAAGCCAAATCGGAAGGAGAAGGGCTGTCTGGCAGACAAAAGTTAACAAAACACAAAACCAATTTAACTTCTTGATTTTTGGTTCATTTTCATAAATAAGTGAAAAAGCGGCAACAGCAACGGCAGCAGACGGAGAAGAGGCAAAAGTCCCCGGCATGCGGAGATATCCTTCGGAAAAGGACCCCACTCCAGCTAACCTTAATGCTTTTGCACGCTCTTACGCCTTGACACAGGAAAATCCCCGATACCCTCCCACCTCCCAAATCCCTTCCAGAAATTCCCCATCCAATCGTCCTTGGTCTGCACGTAAAAAATACACAATATTGTTTATCCATTCAGTTTTTTACACTTCGAATATGGATAAAAAACTAATAAGTTCAAATATTTTTTGGTTAATATAATAATATGATTTCTTTATAGAATTTTGGGTAGAAATTTGTTAGTAGAAATTGTAAAGTTGCTTGGTTGATAACATACTAAGTAATTATATTAGATATATTTAAAAAAAAAAAAATGAAGAAATAAAAATGATTATAAGATTTTGACTACTAATCATTCAAAAATATTTGTTGATTTTCGACCAATAATGTTATTACACTTTTGTTTTGATATAGATTTTGTATGAAACATTAACATAAATATGAATCCCATTTTTTCTCAGTGCGACTTTTCCAAGCATCATCAGCTGCTTTTTGTGTGCTCATTACGGCAACTTGACATTAATAGGCAGCAAACAGCAACACAAACATCCAACCTTACAGATAGAATTATATATATTACATGTGTGTTTTTGCACACACCCACAAACAGAGTGAACAAATAAGCCCTGGTGGGCCTTCCTTCCTTCCCCTCCATTGAAAATAATTAAATTTTCAATTATAATCAGGAGTAAATGCGGGAATTTCTTTATTTTTTGTGGCTGTTTTCTGGATGTGTTTTGTGTGCTGTTTTGTGCTGGGATTTAAATGCGGAGTGGTACATCTACTTAGTATGTTCATGTTGTATATTAACACCATTAGTTTTAATTATTCTTTAAACCATAAAGTTGTAGTGCATTTTTTGGCTGTTTAAATTATGTAAGAATTCTTTAAACATTTAACGAAAATGTAGGTGATAAATCGTAGTGCACATTACTATTATATTTTTTAAAAATATTTAAGCACTACGCAATTACTATACTAATTTTACAACTCTTAGAAAAAAATGTGTAAAACTGTTGTTATAACTGTTAATATGGTATTGAAATTAAGTAAACTGTTTAATTTGGTTGAAAAAATTACCATAAATTTATGACATAGGCTGCCTGTATATTTCAACTATCATTTCTATTTGCTTATTATTTTCATCCACATGTGCTACACACAATTGGGGCTAGGAAAAAACTATAATTTGCATTTGTATTTCATTTCAGAAGGAACTTTTTGCTAAACAGATTTCCATTTGTAAACAAAAACCTTGGTTTCTATGCTCTGGAATATTATTTGCTTTCCGTGCGTTACAGTGCGGGCCAAAGTTTCAGCCGATTCAGCATATTTTCCACATAGGTTGGAAATTTAATTTTCTATTAATTATTATTCGCACTTTTATGTGTGTGAGTGTGTTCGTGTGTGTGTGTGGGGGCAGTCTGGATTCAGTCCTTTGCTCGGGTCTTGTGAAGTGGTCAAAGTTTTATTGGCTTCTCTTCGGTTTTTGTTTAATTGCAAAATACCAGGATGCTGTGTAGACCAACTTTAACTGCAGACCAGTGACCAACGTCATCTGCTTGGCTTGGCTTTGCTTGGCTGCTGGTTCAAGACAAGGAAAGTTGTTTATGGCCCAGGTTGAGTGAGGCAAAAGTTTTCTTATTTACCTGTTGGAGCAGACAATACTTTATGGCCCGATGATGATTATAAACCTGCTCCCCGACCCCGGATTTATGAGTTCTCTTTGAGAGTCGGTGAGTGGGGGTTGATCCAGATTGGAAGCGTGGTTAAATGATTGTGGTAGCTGGTCTCTGCTAAATATCCTTCTTTATGGGGATAAAGAAAATTGGCTAACTTCTCTGCTAGTTTTTGGGGGTTTGTGATAGTATTTTATAAGTAGACAGTTATTTAAAGCTGTTCCGGGTTAGGAAGTGCTTTTCAGATTAAACATTTACTTAAAAAGGAAATTTATTATCTCGTAATACATGTCATTTTTTGAAATAATGAAATGATTATTGATTTGAACTTGGTTACATTTTTTTTTTTGTGACCTCATCATGTAATTTTGTACATCAGCCTTATATTATTCTCTTCATAACCTTAAGAGTCCACTCGGTAAATAATGTTTTTTTCCTCTTCGAGCCATTAATCGTTGGACGAAAAGCTTTGAGGAGCCCAAGTAAATACTGTCTTTCCGCACAAGAATGATTTCCCATCGATTATGTCTAAGCCCCGAAATGTCCAAATGGCTTATCAGTAAATATTTCGCACAAACAACAGAATGGGAATATGAACAAGGACACAAAACAATCGAAAACCATTTCGTCAACGTTCATTTGCGATAAGTACTTGTTGTTGAGGATAGGTTTTTGGCCAGTTGTCCGAAACTATCAATATCGCAATATCATTTAGCGCTAATCCCCGATACAATTTGGCCATGTTAATGCTCCGACAGTCGACCCGAAAGACTATTTCAACACTTTCAATCAAGCGGGGCCAAAAAGGTTTCCCATTCATTTTCATTTTAAGACGCCAGACATCAGCTGCTCCCTTCGGAACTTTTCTTCTGGCTTCATCTCTCTTGCCAAATTGTTCGTTGTTCGTTGGTTTTGTTGGCTTAAAGCTGCTTTTCAAGTGGCTTTCGGCAGGGCTGTGACTTTCACCCCCGTACTCCCCGATGGCCTTCGGTTTGGTTTTGGCTGGCCGTTTTCAAGATATTCGCTTATAAGTTGGAAAATTACAAAAATTTTTGCGTATTTGCCTCGGTTGTTGCTGCTGTCGGTTGCTGGCTGCTTTGACTCGGTGTCTGTGGTACACATGCTCTTGTCTCTCTGGTTCTGTGCTGGTGCAACAAAAGCCAGCGGGAAAATCAAATAAGCAACAGCCAAAACATCTTTTCACCAGACTCCAGAAAGAATAAAACTTGGAGCAGAGGAAGGCTAAAGAAGCATGCAGCCCAGCCTTCAAAAGCCGGAAACTAAAATTTTGTGGCAGAAGTTGAGGCAGCGCGCACAACTTGTCGATTCTGAGTCGGTTGCCCGACTTTTTTTTCTCTACTGTTAAAAAATATTTAAAATACG